GAAGAGGTTTGTTATGTAAGTCCTATTCGGCATCTTTTTCCAGAAAAGCCCTGTCTCGTCACTTGCTGGAGTATGTATCGGGGGTATTGATGTAAACCTCAGCTGCTTTCACATCCGAACTTGTTACCTCACCATGCCTGACGACGGAGTGAAAGCCGATCCATTTTCCAAAGTTATCAAACCCACCCCGACTAGCTTTAAACGAGTCTTCCGATTCATAATTTGTGGAAGTTTGTGGGATCTGCTTCAGCAAATCTTTGTAAATCGCTCGTAGCTTCTCACATATGATGCTTTGTGTTAAAGTTCCTCATTGAAGCGGAGCTGCTTCTCTGTCACCCACACCATTAGTAGTTTCTCTATCTTTTCATGGAGAGAACTCTTTATATTATATGGCTGGCATTATACCATTTATCACCTCCTTGCGTTTAAGTACAGTACATATCATTGATGTGGTACGCCAGTACATCCTCGCCAAGTCAGTTACTTGTACACCTTGCTCATGTTTTTCAATGATTTCACGTTTTAGTTCAATAAACATTACCTTGTATCAATATATGTCATATATATCAATAATGAAACTTTGATGGTATACAAGGCAACTATCGAACACGGTAATTAATTAAATCTTGCCAAGTACTTTCGATCAATAGATCATCTTCAGGGGCATCTGAAATAAGCCAAGAAACGTTTTTTTTTTATAAAAAGGAAAATTAATTCACTTGGATAAAAAACTCCAAGTTTATGGTTGAAAACAGTTTTTATGTGATAAACGTTTATAGACTTACTTCGTCAGTTGTGGCCTATCCGACATGAGCAGAATGTCATACATGTAAATTTGGACATAACAATACAACACACAAAGACAAACAAACACTTTTTTTAAAAAGGAGAAGCTACATGTTATATAGAAGCCGGAGACAGAATGGGCTCCCGGTCTGGCGGAAATATTGAGATGATATATGACAAATGACAGCTTGTAAAGGGCAGTTATGTGATCTGCACCTTTCAAAATTCTATGAAACTAAGTATTGACCAAAGGTCCAACTGACACCACTATAGGAAATCAACTGATGAAATATAAAATTATATAGTATATTTTTTTTATGTAGATTGAATAATCCAAATCTCACACTCAAACCTGTCTATAATAATTAGGTTGTTAGTTTGAGAGCGATTTAAGTTGACATAAGGTATGAATGTAAGAAAAGACTAAACAATATATTAGACAGTGGATGGTTGACTACAATAAAATGGTCCACCAAGCACTATCAGTACTGTAAAAAAGGAAAAATCTGAATATGTAGTTAAATTATTAAAAGTTAAAATCAAAATTGAAAGCAAATTTCAATGTTTCATGCACTGAGCATTTCAATATTAATTTTAAAGTTCTTCCATTGACAGTGGATTCAACTGAACTACTTGGATTATAACCCATTTATATATTTTGCTTTCAATTTTGATTTTAACTTTTAGTAATTTAGCTACATATTCAGATTTTTCCTTTTTTACATTACTGATAGTGCTTGCTGGACCATTTTATTGTAGTCAACCATCCATTGTCTAATATGTTGTTTAGTCTTTTCTTACATTCATACTTTATATCAACTTCAATTGCTCTCAAACTAACATCCTAATTATTATAGACAGGTTTGAGTGTGAGATTTGGATTATTCAATCTACATAAAAAAAATATACTATATAATTTTATATTTCATCAGTTGATTTCCTATAGTGGTGTCAGTTGGACCTTTGGTCAATACTTAGTTTCATAGAATTTTGAAAGGTGCAGATCACATAACTGCCCTTTACAAGCTGTCATTTGTCACATATCATCTCAATATTTCCGCCAGACCGGGAGTCCATTCTGTCTCCGGCTTCTATATAACATGTAGCTTCTCCTTTTTAAAAAAAATTTAAAGTGTTTGTTTGTCTTTGTGTGTTGTATTGTTATGTCCAAATTTACATGTATGACATTCTGCTCATGTCGGATAGGCCACAACTGACGAAGTAAGTCTATAAACGTTTATCACATAAAAACTGTTTTCAACCATAAACTTGGAGTTTTTTATCCAAGTGAATTAATTTTCCTTTTTATAAAAAAAACGTTTCTTGGCTTATTTCAGATGCCCCTGAAGATGATCTATTGATCAAAAGTACTTGGGCAAGATTTAATTAATTACTGTGTTCGATAGTTGCCTTGTATACCATCCAAGTTTAATTATTCGAACATTCAACCTTATATTGATTTATATCAATAATGTTCAATAGTCTCGTACATTCCCGTAAAATGATCTTTATGACGAGGCCGTAAAGATCTATTACCAGTAAAACTACCTTTTATTTACAAAGCAAATTAGAAGTAGTCAAATAAGAGGTATGAATTTGAATAAAAACGGATTCCTCGCATCTCAAATCTTGCTCTCATCTCAAAGCAAAATATCGCTCGCTCCGCAGCTCGTATCTCAAAACACTCGTATATTGGGGCGCTCGTATATCGAGGTACCACTGTAAATGTAAAAGACTGTTCCGAAGCTATTGTTACACATCTTTAAATTCAATTTTAATCAAACGCAAACAATATTACAATCCTTGTTTACAACTTTTACACAATGATAACTGTTAACTCAAGTACTACTGGATGATATGAATGAACGACCATATGAACTATCTTGGTTTTACTTCTAGCTGAAAACTGGAAGCGGTAGATTAGTTCGCTTATTTTCTGCAAGACGGTGTACCAGTTTCGATGAAGTTTCGGACAAAGTACTTTTTTATGTTTGAGATTGTATAACCATACTGGGTTACCCATTTAGAAAGTTGTCCCAGTAGCATGCAGATGCATGTCGAGCCTGGCCTTGGCTATTCACTTTGAAGCTTCACACTTTTACGATCAAATTCGTAGACTTATTCCCATATTTCTTTCAAATTTGCAATTTACATCAGGGATGAAAGTTCTTCGCAGTGACGCAACCTCTTGAAAATAAAATCTTCAGGAAATTTCATTTTTTTTTCCGGTGATCATCATTGATGGAGAATAAGCGGTTGCTTCATGCTCGGAACTTCTATAGGCTAACAAGAACAGAGAAATTTAAGTATCCCAATCGTTTTGATTATCTGGGTCAAATATTGAAAGGTATTGACAACCAATTCTAGTATGTCTTTCGACCATTCCATCTGTTTTAGTATGGAAAGGGGTAGTGCGAGTTTTAACTAAGATTTTCATTAAATCTTGCCATATTCTGATTTAAAATTTCATCGTTGTTCAAAACACGAAAGGAACTCCATGTCTCGATACGATGTTTGTTATAAATTATTATGCTACTGTAGTCGCTTCTTGATTATGATGGGGTGCAATTTCAGGATATTTTCAAAAATAATCCATTGATTGCGACTATTAAGTACTTGTTTCCTCTCTCTGTCAAAGGAAGTGGACCGATAATATCCACTGCAAGGCTCCCCAGAAAGATATTGTGCAATTTTACCACGACTTCTTGTTCTAGGGCCGTTACATAAATCGCATTTCTTACACCAATCTTCATCTCGGTTACAATTAATCCAGTAAAATCTGTCTCGAACTCTGGCAACTATTCTTTTGATTCCAAAAGGTCCTCCAAATAAGGAAAAGAATATGCGTGGCTAAGCGCTGTTATTTTGGCCTAGGCCCTCAACTAAGAGCAAGAAATAGGTCAAGAGCAACAAAGTGCAACGTTTATAAAACAATAATACACACAATGCTCACTTACGGATCGAAAATATGGGAAATGACGACCCGAGATGAAGATTTACTACGAATATTTGAAAGAAAAGTATTGAGGGCCACGTATGCCGGAGTTAGCGAACAGGGTATGTGCAGAAGGCGATATAACTTCGGTGATACAAATATCTTGAAAACCATCAAAATAAACCGTCGTTGATGGGTAGGTTATGTGGATGGATGAAAGTGATTTTTCTAAAATAACCAGGTCAAGAGAAAAAGGAGGCGACCTAAATTCAGGTATCTGGACGATGTGGAGAACGATTTAAAGGGATTTGAGTAAGGGGATGGAGAAAACAGACAGAGGACAGGAAAGGACGGAAGAATGTTTTGAGGCAGGCCAGGGCTCATGAAGGGCTGTAACGCCAACTGATATATTTGGTTATTTCCTACCAAATAGGTTTTACTTCAGTTTTTCTTCCTGTGCAGAAATTAATTGCCCTTAAAGAATGTATCAAGGAAGTCGCTAAAGTATGGAGTGTAAATGTGACTTAAAAGCCTATAAGAAATTAAATTTGGGATAAACAAATTAAATAACTATTAAACAATTTGACCGACCGACTTGAAATTTTGATCATATTTTAAGCACCAAGAGACCCAATATTATATGTAATATAAGGTTATAAATTTATTTTAAAAAAAGTTAATATTTATAAAAAACCAAAATTTTTTACTCATTTTGCAATTTTCTAAACAACAGATGAGGATAGGAACATATAAAAAACGTCATTTTAAAGGTTTTTATATGACTCTTAAGTTTGTTTCTCTCAAGTTTGTTTCAAATGCTGCACTTTTTGCTGATAGACGAAAAAAGGGAAAATTGCCGTTTTTTGAACTTACTTTGTTAATAACTAAGTCCAAAAATCGAGTGCATATAGGAAAAATATAGGTTCTTGATATAGAGGTCCATACTACTCAAACGTTTGCCTGACCGGACGAGTGTCACGAAAAAAAGCTTATTTCCCTGAGCTATTTGCTAATGGGTCGTTTTCGAGAAAGCGAGCTGACTTATGCCCATCCCTATATAGGTAGATGACCTAACCATCCTTCTTTTTGCCTTTTATCTGAAATGTAGCATTTATCACTTAAATGTTTTTACTGTGGTCTTAATCACTTATACTTTCCACCGATAAGGTATTACTTTACGAGCACCACCCAGAACTGAATTTCGCTAACTTTCGTACCAATATTCGTAGATATAATAATAAAATTCCAAAGGAAAGAGCTTTAGGATATTTTCTTTTAGGTTGGACTAACCAACTCGACAGGTTGTTCCCACGCCAACGGCGGATCCGAGGACGTGGAAATGGGAAAATGTATGGAGGCTGTCAACGTGAAGGCTGGTGACTCACGTGACTCGTTAGGTAGAGGTAGATTCTTTCCGTTCGTACCGGAACATCACTTAATTCCAGGCCACGTGTCAAGGAGTTTCTGGTACTGGGATTATATATATTATGAAGCTAAACAGGTAAAGTAATCAATACATAAGTTTTGAAGTTTTAAGGTTTTGTGATTTATATGGCTAAATATTATTGTTTGTGCAATTGTTTTTAGGTAAATTGTAATATATACAGGTTAATACTAACTTCTATAAAAATAACCGGTCTTTATTTATCTATTGAACAGTATTTGATATAATTCAGTTAAAAAATTGAAGAATCCAGAAATAGTCCAATCGACTGAGTCCTGCAGAAGGAGTGAAGTGGTGCCGTATCGCCAGTGTTCCATGTCGCTTGATTCACGCCGAAATTACGGGTCATTCATCCGAACATCTTCTCTGAAGTCGATATAGATCCAGCTCCGCTAAAGCACTTAGTATTTTCTCTTCTAGCTCTAATGATAAGCTACGTCCTCGAGGCAAGCTGCGCTCAAGGGATCTTTGATGAATTCTTGCGGCATTTGTTCCATTTCTTCTGTGCAATTGAGTTGGGAGCTGGATTTCGTGCTTGTAATTTAGAAGATACATGTCCGTCTTTGCTACAATACTTAATATTTGCTCCTCAAGTTCCAGTGATACCTGCCTCCTCTTAGACATGCTGTGCAAGAGATCGTTGTTGAATTTGGTTCCATTTCTTGTGTGTAGCAAGTGCGTATTGTTCAATTTAGTTGGAAGCGGAATTTCGGGCTTATAATTTAGAATATACAGGACCGCTTTCGCTACTATGGTTAGTATTTTTTGTCCTTAAGTTCCAATGATAGCGTACATCCTGTTAGGCAGGCTGTGCATATTTGACGAGTTCCAGGGAATTTGGTTCCATTGCTTCTGTGCTAAAAAGTCTTAATTATGAAACCCAGTTATGAGCTGTATTTCGTGCCTTTCATTTAAAAGATACAGGTCCGTCTTCGTTATAAGCCTTAGTATTTCCTCCTTGAGCTCTAATGATAGCCTGCATCTTCAGCTTTGTCATAAATTTCAGTTCCTCAACTATTTTTTAATTTAAAAATATATACTGTTAATGGTGTTAGTTAATGCTATTAATTCCGGCTGACCGGTCCAAGGCAATTAGAAGCTGGATGCCAGTCATAGAGTTTTACAAAAAATTGTGCTTCTTGGGACACGTGACAAGAATGTCAAAGGTCAGCAAAAAGTGTTTCGCCAACAGCTAAAAACAAAAGAGAACAACTAAAGAAAAGTCTCGTAAGAAGCATGCGGATGTTCTGAATATGACTGAATAAAAACATAACAACAATTCCTAGCTATGGGACTTGATACTCACGTTTTACTTCAAAAATCAACTATTTTTGGATACTACTGGTCTCTCACCGACTACAGACATCTCATATGACGCACAGAGTGGTATTTTACATAAAAAGCTGGCCAAAAATATTTTCATTACTTTTAATGAGGTTGGTTGTTTTTTCGGTAACATAATGTTATCACAATTATAATAACAAACGTCTTTTATATAATTGAACTTTAATCAAATAAAAGGCAGATAGTATTTAATTAAATCTTGCCCAAGTACTTTCGCTTCTAGAGCATCTTCAGGGGAATTTTGTCAAAATTGTATGCTATTAAACAATTTGGTGAATTTGTTAATAATATAATTGCTTAATTATAAACAATATGGTGAATAAAAAAAGAACAACAATTCCTTGCTATGGGACTTACTTAAAAAACAACTATTTTATTTTTAAAACGTTTGTCACATTGTAGGGATTCCCTAAATTCTTTTATGCTAATCTAGTTTTAAGGTTGATCTTCACCCACAATTAATTTGTTTCTGATCCTAGAGATGGCTCTACTGCGGCATGCTAATCTGGTAAATTTTTTAACTTAATTGTAGATTTCTACATGATGACTCTGTAATATTTTCAAACCCTAATATAAATTACAGTTTTCTATCATTATATCCATTGACTGAGTTGCCAAATTGTGTAGACAGTAATTTTATCAAATACGCTATAACTTTTACGCTTACTAGTAGACCGAGTTAGCAAAGATATCTTTAACAACATCTTTATGTATAAAATTTTACTGCTCTGCTGTGTCAAAATAAACAAAGTTACGGTTTTGCAGGAGCACAAGGTCTCATTCACACATATCATTGAAAAATGATCTATATTTATTATCTAAACATTTTTATCGCCAAAGAGGTACTTAGCGGCGCTATCTGTGTCTGTAGCGGTAGTATCGTATTACCATTAAATTTATACATGCATTCATATATTATTTTTTTGTTGATAGTTAAAAATTAAATTATCTGGTAATATTAAATATTTTAGTGCGAATTATAAGAAAAATGGTCAATCGTCTAAAACATGCGAACATGTCTTCTTTTTGTTACTGGTTTCAGGTTTGTTATCTTCCTAATTAATGCGCCTTCTTCTCTTATTTGTATGTGCTCAAATTATCTCAGTCTTTGTGGATTAATAAATTTTACTATCTCTTCCCCTTTCTATCTCTTATTTCATGCTTCATTAGTCTTCTATATTCTCCGTGTTCAGGCCTTATTGGGCTGTTTATTCTTATAATTTTGCTTTTAATAATTCTTACTTTTTCTTTATCTTTTTTCGTAAGACATATTACTTTCGCTCCGTATGCTATCACTGGTCTAATTCCTGGTCTATATATTTTTGTCTTTGTTTTTTTGGTATCTTTAAGTAGTGGGTGATATTTCCAAATTACAACGTTCTTCTCTTGCCTTGTGTGCGTGGTAGTGTCATGCGTTAGATGTATGATTTGGGGTGGTTGATACGTATTTAGTTATTACGGTTATATTTGATCTAATTAGTTCTTCAGTTTCCGTATTCGACCACTTTATAAAGCCAAATGTGATAAGTGGTATTGCGTATGTGTTTATTGCTTTTACTATGTGCTTTTAATTAAGTTTGCTTTGGAGTATTATTATTATAATTATTCAGATTTAGCCATACGGCTCACACTCCCTCTAAGGGGAAAATTCACTCATCCCAGATACCTACGATATCAAAAGGATTGAGCTCTGGTGGGACTCTTTCCATGTTATCGAGTCCTAGGTGACTTGGTACGTCGGTGTATCTCCTAAAAATTTTCAAATCACATTGAATTGCACACATAACATGAGGAAGTTAAAAGAAATAAAAAATAATTTTTTCAACAAGCTCTAACCATATTTTTGGCCGGTCTAAGAGAACCGCTAGGGTCAACAATTCGATCCATGAGACCAGCGAATCTCGCTCTTGCTATCCGATATATTCAGAAAAAAATTAGATATCTTAAAAAATCTCATAATTATTCCTTATCATCTTCTAACAAACCATCTGCCACTTCACAAATGACACAATTTAACTCATACACCCGCTCCTACACGATGGCAGCCTGAGGTACCCAAGCCCCAATGGCCACAGCCTTTCTTTAGGCAAAAGCAAATGCCTTTGCAACAACAGCCATTCAACAATAATCCAAGAGTGACATTTCAACCTCCTAGATTCCAACAAAATCAACAAATCACTTAATATGCACAAAATTCTACAACTAACCAACCCAATTTTCATAAACCATATCCATCTCAATCATATAAGCCAATACCTATTAGCGTATTTAGACGCCAAACCGCAATAGACCCCAATCTCAAAGAAACTTCCGCTTTCAAAAGACAGCCAGGCCCGATTCACGGTAGGAGAGCTCTTTAATATCGAACAACAAGAGCAATTATGACGAAGGTATATAGACACATACCCAGATTACTCTTACTATGAACAAAAAATTCAAAAATATGAGGACAAAGATGTAAATTTTCAAAGATTTCAAAAATAAAAAGAAGAAACTTAGTAGAATTGCATTCCTTTGCTGACAAAAGAGAGTTTCATTTCATTAAAATTCAAAATCTCCCTCTTAAACTTCTTATTGTTACAAGAGCCACTAAATCTTTTTTAATCCTGATATAACAAATAAATTCCTCAAAAATAATATTAAATATGAACCAGTTGCTACATCAATTTTTTTGAATCATTCAGAAGGTTATTGTGTAGAAATTCCAATTTTTTCCGAATTTAACTCAAATATTAACTTAAAGTTTTATATTTGCAAAGCTTACAAGACATTTTATGGTCTTAATCTTAAGGCTTCTTAAAGCAAATCTCGATTCTACCCAAGCTACTCTTACTACAGCGCATTCTATTCTCCCTATTAATTACTATGCCACAAATAAAGCCCAATTCTATATAGTCCACCAAGAGCCCTAAAGAATTATACAAGTCAAATTTACAGTAAAAGAAACATCAGGTAAAATCGTCATCCAAAAACAAGAAGTCGAAGGTGCCATCCTAAGAGAAATTCTCACCGTCGCATATAATCAACTTGCCTGATCCCATCAAAAGTCAACCAATAAATCTAAGAGATGTCGATCCTTTCCTAAGAACCGATCATTTTAATACAATAGAAGAATATTACCGAAAACGACAGTGCAGGAAGTTTGCATCATGCATATTTCATTATTCAGACGTCAGTTAACATTTACTTATCAAATAAAACATCATATACGAACAAGAGATGAAGTTCCGGTTTACACCAAGTCAAATCGGTATCCACACATCCATAAGGATGATCGATCAAGAAATCATCAAACTGAGACAATTGCCCTGGTCGTCCCCAATGTGGGCCATTCCAAAGCAACCAGATGCCCAAGAAAAATTAAATGGAGAATAGTTGTCGACTACAGGAAGGTGAACAAGAAAACCATCGATGGTCTATACCCAATTCCAAATATAACAGACATTCTGGACAAACTAGGTCGCTGCAAATATTTTTCCAGTCAGTTGTAGCCAGCGGATTACATCAAATTAAAATGAAGGAAGAAGATATTTGGAAGACTGCATAACTTAACGGAACTTAACTGGAAGACTTAACGTTGAAAATGGCCACTATAAATGCCTGAGAATGCCATTCGGACTCAAAAATGCACCCTCAACATTTTAGAGAGTAGGTAATGGAGAACATAATAAAAAGACTTACAGGCGAAATATATCTAGTCTACAGGGACATTT